GGATTAAGGCCGAATTTACAACATCCTGTGAATCGGCGGATTGAGTAAATCGGGGACGAGCGAAGAGGAAGAATGGCGCGAACAGGCTTACCTTCCTCAATGCTTTCGGCGGAGCTGAAGGATGGCAAAGATGGGAGTTTCGGTGGTTTCTGTATCCAGGAGTCGAGTGTTTCGAGCAGACAGGATAAGGGGCAGATGGATAGAGCTCTCAGAACAGCTGGAGTTTCGGTGGTTTCTGTATCCAGGAGTCGAGTGCTTCGAGCACACAGGATAAGGGGCAGATGGATAGAGCTTTCAGAACAGCTGCTCCATGTTCGGAATTTTTATAGGCTTCATGCGCCCATGTTCGTCAAATAGGCATCGTTCGGCATTTTAAGCAAGGCTTGGAGCTGAATTTACTTTAAGATTTATTCAATCCGGATTTATTATAACAGGGCAAATTATTACATGCAGGGCATATACATAGCACACAGAGATTATTGAAGTGAAATCCTGAAACTCATTGGGAGACTAATTGGGGGTTATTTAGTGTTATTAAAGCATTAATTCTAATAACGTCGTGATAATCTCTTAATAAATTTCGTTATTACACTTTCAATAAACACCCAATAAACATTCACAGTTACACTCCGCAATAACCCCCAAATAATATGCCCCCTACATATCCTCACAATAATCTCATAATAACATCTAAATAACATTTCAATTCGCGGTTTCACTTCAATAACATTGCAATAACATCCACGTGACGGTAAATTACTGGAAGTCTACACACAGAGCTGCGTAAGTGCTCCGCATGCGCGGAGAACGTCTAAACGCAAAAAAATTTCGATTTAACGGGGGCTTTAGATTTAATTTTGGTAGAGCAAATCAGTCAAACCAGCACAAATTTTTTTGTGTTTGATTGGAGTCAAACTAATTGAATATCATTAACATAATATGTATAATTTATATTTTAAATTATATTTTAAAGAATTATTAAATTTTAATAATTTATAAATAATTTTAGTTAGGATCCCTCCTTCTGGCTCCCTCCTTCCGCCCTCATCATATAATCCCACATCACAAATTCTTGAAAAACTTCAACTTATGCTCTGTAAATCACTCATCATGATAAAAATTAAATTTTGTAATTTAGTTATATTGTTTAACTTATTAAATTTTAATAAATTATTATTTCAAGCTGAGTAAGATCTTAATTCAAAAAAAAAAAAAAAAAAAAGTTTGAATCGAGTCGGACACGAACAAATAATTCATGAGCCATTTTGAACACCGGTCGAATATGAATAAAATAAATTTGAATGAGTCGAATACGAACAAGCCTTAGGCTTGCTCATGTTTGCCTAATTTACACCTTTAGAGAAATTTTAAGATTTTAATTAATTTTTATTTAAGTATTAATTTTTTAATCAAATTAAATAATAACTAATAATAATTCATATATTATCAAATTAATTATAATTAGATTAATTTATATGTAATTATTTAATAATTAATTAATGAATAAAAATGTATTTTAAATTTTAAGTCAGTTAATAAAATTTTAAGTAATTTTTAATTAATATAATTCATTAATGTTAAATTATTGCATAATAAGTAATTAGTTTAATTTTTTTAATAAATAATTAATTTAGTGAATAATTAATTATTAAGCAGCATAAATAGAACTAAAATCTAAATTTAATATTTAATTTTCATCATCATAATAAAATAATTAAATTTTAATTATAAATTATATTTATAACAAACATAACAACCTTTTAAATTCGGGCAGAAGTTGTCAAACATTTTGATAGGATTTGTCATTGTCAAATAATTTTTAAGATTTAACCCTTCCTAATACTGAATTCGTATTCATAGGATTTACCAAATCTTACTAACTTAAATATAATTTGTTATCATGCAGGCCTTTAATCGAGCGACGATGTGATTATCCTTCAATAAAACACACACACACACAAAAAGAGAAATTATAACTAATATTAGGTCGATATGAAATGATATAGAGGAATAATAATAACAATTTTGCACTAAAAATTAAATTTTGGACACTAATCAAAAAAAAAAAAAAATGAGGGATTTGGGTACATGGATAAAAGAGGAAAGAGAGCATTGTAAGAACAATGGAGAGGAGAGTATTAAATTTTATGTTTTCTCCTACGGCCCACAATGTCAAGTTCAGATCTCAATACCTTATATTTTAATGAAATAGAGCATAGCAGTGGAAAAAAAAGTATTCTTCTTTGGTTGTTGGGGTTTGGTTGTGTCTATCACAAATCTTAGAAAATTTATATCTAAATGATCGGATGCGTCTTTTAAAAAATAATATATTACTTCGAGAAGTACAAATACTACATTAAAATGAATCTTAGCATATAAATAAGAAAAACATTTAAAATTATGGGAATGCATAACCAAAGATTTTTCTGCTACCTTACGGGTGTAAGATAGGGTTTCTTTTATTTTGGGTTTTGATATCTTTACAAGATCGAGCCCTCATAGTTAATTATATCCCAAGAGTTGTGCACTCCCAAGAACATTCCTGATTAAAGTATTGACTTATATTATTATGTAGGAGTATAGAGTTGATGTCTTCAAGATTAATGTTGTAGGACTTCAAATGGGCAGGCTCATGGTTTCAATAATTTTGTTTATGAAATTAAAAGGTTGAGACATACAGTCCAATGACAATGGCTCATTGAATGACCCAAGAAAAAGGTTAACAAACTCCAAAAAAATTGATACCCTGAGGATTAAAATTGTAAATTTGTTAAAGAAGTTAAGATTCTGATTTGAAATATTAAGTTTAGTTTGAAAAGCTTGATTTGAATTGGATTATGTTTGAATTTAGTTAATTGATTTGGGTTGAAAGGTTTAAATAAAATTTGATATAAGTTAATTGGAGTTGAAAAACCTTCGTTTGAATAAGTTTTGGCTTGAGGCTTAGTTTAAATTAAGAATATTTGATTTAAGTTATGAAGGTTTAAGTTGAGTTAAGAATGTTTGATTTGAATTTTTAAATTTTAGACTAAAGGACATGATTGACTAGAAAGATTTACCATTACCCAAAAATATGCTTACACTATATAAGAAGGCTAAGTAGATGACTAACCTAAATTTTAGGTATAATCCCCCCCGGTCAAGATGTCAATGGCTTTCCATCATCCTGTGTTCATTAGTACCTTTAAACTATTAACCAACCAAATAGTTTAGAAGTATCCACTTAATACCATAGTGATGATGAGTGTATACCTTTTGTTATTAGATGGTTTGAGATGTCATTGTCAATAACCAAGTGTTACTTCATTCTAGGGCACTACATAGTCTAAAAAGGCTACAAACTATTTGGTTTATATATCCTAGTTCTTAGAATTAACTAGAGATACCTAGTAATCGAATCTAGGCTTCTAGACTAGACTATTCTAAAGAATGTGTGATCCTGAATTTCATTTTAACCAAAGGTTCATAATTGATCAAAATGGTGATGGTTTTTATTTTTTAAGTTGGTGAGTTTTAGAATAATTTTTGTGTTTGATATTTAATCCATAATTTGGTTCAACTCTTAATTATTAGTAAACATGAAAATTATGGTGTTCTATGTTTAAAGCTTTGCATTTAGTTTTCTATTCTAGGATGATGTTTTTTATTAGTTTTTCTTCTAGATTTGATTTCAATGTTGTTTACTAATTCTATGTTGAAATTTACCTATAAATAAAGCTCATATATATGTTATTTAATGATTATATTTTTCTACTTAAGTTTCATATGCATGCTAAATAAATGTTTATTTTATTTTTCACACATATATATGTATGTATGTATGTATGTATAGATATATTTATCTCACAAAGATATTCTGATTATATTATGCAAGTGAATAAAGTGAAAAAAATAAATAAGTATAAAATTGCTCAAGATATGTTTGTTTAGGAGTTAAACTTATAAATTACATGCTCTCAAATTAAAACATATTCATTTATATGCTAGACATGAAAACATATATAATATGTTTCCTATTTAAGAGGATTTATAAATTTATAAAGCTTAGTATAAAAATTGACAGAATTAGTTAGCTTAAGAGGGGTTTGAAAAGAAAGAGTTTACTTTAGAAATGATTTACTTAGGCCTGCTTAATTTTGAAAATATTTTATTTTGGTTATTTTTTTAATACGTTTTAAAATGTCTAGTTTGGGTTTTTTTTAACTTCAAAAAGCTATTACTTAGGGTTTTTTTAGTTTTAAGAAAAAAATTGTTTATGTTAATTTTATTTTGAAAAAAGGTTCTACTTAGATTATCTTTTAGTTTCAGATAAGTTTTGTTTAAATTTTCTTAATTTTTAAAAAGGTTTTATACATATTTTAGTTGTGAATAAGTTTTGTATAGGTATTCTTTATTTTAAAAATGTTTTATTTAGGTTTTACTTTAGTTTTTGAAAAAAATTTGTTTTAGTTTATTTTAATTTTGAAAATATTTTAGGTTTATTTTACTTTAAATTTTGAAA